ATGCTAGATCAGTGAGACCCATTTGGATTACTAGCTCCAGAATGGTAAAGACACATGTGCTATTTTATGTCACTTTGGTTGTTTGGCACAGAAGCACCAGGAAATTACTATCCCTATATCAAACAGTGCTAAGAAATAGGTACAGAAACTTTTTCAAATAAGATTTATTTTTATTAATTTATCATAAAGATTTATTTATTTATGCATACAAGAGGTGGGGTGTAGACCAGAGGTGTGGGGGTGCATGTGTGAGAGAGGACTCACCAGAGACGGAGTGGGGAGCAGAACAGATCGACTGACTGAAACACACTGCTGAGGGAAGCAGCAGGCGAGACAGGAGAAGTCTGCTGTGCCATGTGGGTCAGGTCCCTGGCCAGAGATCAAACTCGCACTGCAGTGGCTGCCGATAGCTTCATAGTGCTGACACTTAACTCCTTGCACCACCGGGAGAGGCCCTATTTTTATTTATCCATATGAGAATTGGGGTGTAGGCCAGAGGTATGGGGGGTGTGGTGTGGTGAGAGGATTCACCAGAGACAGAGTGGGGAGCAGAACAGGTGGACCCACTGAAATGCACTGCTGAGGGAAGCTGCGGGGAGATGGAGAGGCTCAAACTCCTGCTGCAGTGGCTACCAAAAGCTTGACAGTGCTGACACTGCGCCACCAGAGAGCTCTGTGATGCCTCAGGTCTCAAGGGACCTTTGACTCTGCGTTGCTGACAAGACACAAGACGGGGAGAATGAAGGCACTGCAATCCCCTTGGTGCGCTGCGAGCTGCAACAGAAGACCACCCTCCAGCTGAGACTAGGAGAAATGTGTGGCAATTGGGAGTCCAACACTCTGGAATTCAATAAATAAATCTTAAAAAAAAACAAAAAAACTAACCACATGCAATCTATCATGGCTTGGAGCAAAGCTCAGTAGATGTTATTCTTCTGCTTGGGAAAGTGCCCAATAAATACCTCTTTGTGAAGGCAAAGGCTTATGGCCCAGGTATCAAACTGAGGATAAAGCCAGCAACACACAGTAGGTGCTCGGACTGGCTGCTAATTCAAGGGGAAGGTTTCACCAAGTTCCGGGGAGCAGGCGTAAGTACGGTCACCAACTTGGCATCTTTGGCCAGATGCCAACCCCATCTCAGGGAACAGGAAGCTACAACACCTCTCCTGGTGACTCACGGCCCAACCTTTGGCTTAACTGACTTCTAACTTGGCGGGAAGGTGTGGATCCTCATCCACCTCCGTCTGCCACTTATTCCCTTTTGTTCCCCCTTCCGTGAGTGGCCCCTCAAGCTTTCCCACTTTCTTGAACTATGGCCCCAGTTGCTATCAGTTAGATCTTTTTCCTGTCCTTTCACTTAGCTTGGCCAGGTCTGGGCAGGAAGTCTCTGGAAGGCCGTCTTTTTTCTGCCCTAGCACAAGGGCTGGGATGGGGAGAAGTTTCCCCACATTTGACAGTAGGGACCAGCAGAGGTGGCATTCTTGGCGTGAGCCTCAATGTGTGCCCTAAGGCAAGGACACAGGCTGGGGCTCAGTCTTCCCATCTGTACCCTGGCCTAGCCGGGCCCCTGGACAGGCGTCCTCATCACTGTGTGCCTCTCCTATGCAAATAAAAACGGGGTGCTCAGCAAGGCCTGAATTTCAGATAAAGAAATACTTTAATATATACAATAATACATTTTACAGTTTTAACAACTTTTTTCTTCTCCCAAATTACCCCCTGATTGATACCTAATGAATCAGGGTATAGGCTGGGAGTATGGGGATGATAGAATTCACTGAAGACAGAGTGAAGAACAGAAAAGGCAAATTTGCTGAGATACTGATGAGAGAGGCTGGCAAGATGGGAGGAGTCATCTGACCCTAAATTTTACAATTATAACTATTTTTTTTAAAGATTTGTTTATTTATGCATACAAGAGCTGGGGTTCTGGTCAGAGGTGCAGAATGGGGGTATGGTGAGAAGATTTCACCAGAGACTGAGTGAGGAGCAAAACTGCCAGATCCACTGAAACACACTGCTGAGGGGAGCAGTGGGTGAGACAGGAGAGGTCACGTGGGTCACCTCCTTGGAGGGGATTGGACTTAGGCTGCAGCAGCTAAGGATAGCTTCATAGCGCTGCACCATCAGGGAAGCCCAATTTTAACTATTTTTAAAGCACCATGTCAGTGCAGCAGACCTCACCTGTCTTGCAGCTGCTTCCCTGAGCAGTGTATTTCAATAAATCTGCCTGTTCTGTTCTCAAAAAAAGGAACCATGTCAATTCCTTGCGGGTGTCAAATATTCCTATTTGATGATATATACCTTTGTTATTTTTTGTTGTGGTGGTGGTAAAATATGCGCAACATCAAACTTACCATTTTGACCATTTTATTTATTTATATCAGTTTTCATTCTTGTTCATTGTACAGCAATGTTTACTTCCCCCTCCCTTTGACCATTTTAAAATGTACAGCTCAGGGGCATAAGGACAGTCACATTTTTTGGCGACCATCCATCACAGGAACTTTCTCCAAACTGCTATCAGTCCCCATTAAACACTAACTCTCCCTCCCCAGCCATCATACTTTCTGGCTGTATGCATCTGACTCCTAAAGGCACCTCCTGTGGGTGAACTCTTGTGGTATTTCTTCTTATGTGTCAGGGCTATTTCATTTAGCATCATGTTCTCAAGGTCCATCCATGTTGCAGGATGTTTAACAAAATTTTTTTTTTTTAGTTCAGATGACCTAAATATTGCATGGGACAAATATTGCATGTAATATACTTATTCTGAAAAATTGTGTAGCTGCAACTTATATTTAACTGGCATTCTGAATTTTATCTGGCAATTCTACTTACAGCCCTGCTTCTGCAGTTATTTTTATTTTAAAGTTATGTCTATTGGGCCCCCAGGGTGGCATTAATGGGTCAAGTCTCAGCACTATGACATTATCTACAGCTGCTGCAGCCTGAGTTGATCCCAGGCCAGGGAGGTGACCCACCCACTGCTCCCCTCAGCAGTGTATTTCAGTGCAGCTGCCTGTTCTGCTCCCCACTCTTACACTGGGGATTCTTCTCATCCCCACACCTCTGGCCTGTAACCGAGTTCTTGTGTGCATAAATAATCTTTAAAATAACAACAACAACATAAAATTATGTTTATTGAGGCAATTTTGGTTGATAACAATGTGTATGTTTTAAGGGTAGAACATCACACACCTCTATAAATGTAGGTTATCACACTATGCCTACTGCCAAAGCCCCAAATTCTTCACTGCAGCCCCTCAGACCCTTCATCCACTCTATGCAGATATCTCAACCTCTCCATGTAACCTCAGTTCTACTGTCAGATTTCAAGCATTTGTTTTGGTTTGCTTTTGTCTACTCTTTTGTTTTGTTTCTTTATATTCCAAGCATGCATGAAGCACGTGGTATTTGTCTTTCTCCTGATTTATTTCGCTTAGCATAATCCTTTGCTACTCCATCCATGTTTTTGCAAATGGCAGGATTTCATCTTTTTTATAGCTGAGTAGTAATCTATCAGCATACATACATCTTTAGAGCTACTCCTCTGTCGTTGGACTCTTAGGTGGGTATACTTATTTAAAGTATTATTATATATATACATGTATATATATACTTACACCGCATGAAATTTCAGTTGTCTTAAGTATACAATTTAGTACATTTTATTGCACATTTACAGAGTCATACAATCATCATTACAAACATTCAAAAACATTTCCATCACCCTAAAATGAAACCTCACACCCATCTGCACTCACTCTGGACTCTACTCCCAGCTTAAGGCTGTAGAAAGAAATCATTAACCCATTTTCTATCTTGAATGATTTGCCTTTTCTGGACATTCCATTAAATGTCATATGATCCTGAAATCATGTGACCTTTTTGCCTGATTTTTTTTACATCACTTTTTGAGGTTCATTACTATTGTACTGTGTATCAATGCTTCATTTCTTTTTTTGCTGAATAGTATTTATCATAAGCATATCCCACGTCATCTGGTTTGTGCATTCACCCATCGATGGACATTTGAGTTGCTTCTACTTTTTAGCTCCTGTGAAACAGACTGCTTATGACTATTTGTGACTAAGTTTTTATGTAGAGGGTGAGTTTCATTTTTCTTGGTGCATACCTAGGGGTGGCATCGCTGGGGCCATATTGTAAGTTTATGCTGAACTTGTAAAAAGCTTTTGAGATCTATTTCAAGTGCATATGGGTGCACTTGAGACAAAAAAAAAAATCGTACTAGGTGATCGAATCCTTCTAGTGTTTTTAAAAAGAAATCCTTCCAATGTTTCTCCAAAAGCTGAAAACTCAAATTTCTCAGGAATGTTCATAGGCGTTAAGACAGAGCCAGGGGGAGCGCTCCAGCCTCCTTCCCTCCCACACTCGCTCAGTCCTCCAGCGTCCACCTGATATTAGCCAATTTCTTTACAACTTTCAAGTTGACAAAAACTTATCAACTTCCTTTAGTATAGAGAAAGCCTCCTCCATTACTCAGCTTTCTCTCAAGCACTCAGGCTCTTTAAAGTTTCACCGCTGACCCAAACCACACATTAACATTTCTTTGGCCCGCTAGACCTTGAGCTGCCAACGGCACCCGGCGCCCCCGGCACTTCCTATTCCCGGGCACAGCTTTCACTCCAAGAGCTGCGAAGTCACTGGCTCTTCCTCGGGCTCCATACCAGTAGGAGCCCCATTTACAGGAGGGGAAACTGAGGCATTAAGCGATTAAGCAGTGCTCGACACACTCTTCTGGAAGGAATATGTGCATTAAAGTATTCCGTAGCGTAGGCACGTAGTGCCCCAAAACCTTCGCTTTATTGAGAAAAAAGTGTGCGCTTCACGGACGTTTCTCCCAAACCGCCCCCCAAGCCCGCCCCTGCCCTTAGCCACTCCCCCGGCCAGCGTCGGCGCGTCCCCGTTTTGAGTTGAAGCTCTCTTCTGGAGTCCGGTGCGGACAGCTCCTTCGGTAGCCAATGCCCACTCCCTACCTTGGGGCGCTTCTCGCGCTATCCAATGAGCTGCAGCTCTCCATTAAACCCCTTCTTCCAGAAGGGGACGCGGTGGTATCCAATGGCGAGCCTCCTCCGGGGCCGTCGTCGGCCTGCCCCTCGACTCTCAGCCCCGCCCCGAGGCGTCGGGCCTCCCGCCTCTTCTCTCCAGAGCGCCTCCGTTTCTCTCCTCCCACTTTTCCCCTTTCACCTCCCATAACCTCCGCCCCCTCCATTAGACCTCTGGTCACGCCCCTTGCTTCTGCCCGTTACCCAATCCCGTTAACTTGATATGCTCCAACCCCTCTTCTCATTGGTCCCCGCTCTCCTCTATCCCCCGCACGTGGTACTGAGCGACAGCATCATCCACCCGTGACGGACGAAAGGTGGGACTTCCGGTGGCCCTCAGGCCAATAACACGCTCCGGCCCGCAGTCCAGGCGGCCGCCCCCGCCCCTTCGGTATCCCGCTCCCGCCCCCGGCTT